CGCAACTCCGGCACCTACACCAACCCGCACCCCGCGCTGCTGCGCCCCGCCGCGCCGCGCTCCGAGCTCGCCACCGCAGGCACCTTCTTATGCCTTTCTCTTTTACAATTTTATTTCAGTTTTACGAATGACCGGTTTTGTTATGTTCTGAAATGGTTTTCTTTTCGTTCTGTAACCTCCGCTCTTATTGGTTTTTCAGTTTTATTTGATTTCATGGTTTTGATGTATTCATTTTAAGGTGATGGTTGATTTGTTTGTTTTTGTTGCGATATGTATTTTTGCTTTTGGAATTTGACCTCTGTCTACTTTGACCAGTATTCATTCATGTTTCGAATTCCAGGATACGGTCGTCGCCCCATGTATGATCGATTTCATCTTAGGGATGAGTCTACGGAGTCGAGTACGGACGACAGCGACGAGTGTCACCCCCACTATCACGGTTCCATACCCAGATTGATTATAACTTTGGATAGGGAAAATAATCAACTGCAAGACGATCTAACCCCCGAAACTCCGGGCTGTCCCATTGAACTCAAAAGCGGCTCCTCCTCGCCTCGGCCTATACCTATTTTTACATTCACTTGTGAGGACTTCGACGAACTACAAAGACAGAGTGAAGCACGGGCCCCGAGCCCCCACCGGCCTCGCGAGGAAGCGCCGCCGGTGCCCGAGCCGCCCGCAAACTACGATCAGTCGAGCGAGAGCGGCGACGCCATTTGCTTGCCGCCGCAAATGCGACCGATAGATACCAAACTTACGTTGGAGTTGTTTACCGCGCGCGGCCGCGAGCCGGACGGCTACCGGCGGCGCTGCACGGCCGGCGACGACTGCGTCAGCGCCTGCGAGTGTTGCCGCACGCCGCAGCCCGACGCGCACCAGATACCCTACATTGACGAGCCCAACTCGGAACCTGTTATATTTGAAAACGATTGCGCCGACGAGAGGGTCGCTACACCGAAGATTCGAAGGATACTTCCTTCTGTGTCCATAGATCAGTGCGATGATAAGAAACCGGTGACTGCAGACGCCGAGTGCCAGACTTCTTCCTCCCCCGAACACGAAACCACACAAACTATATCAGATTCTTTATCATTGATAGATAAGAAAAAGGAGCTAAGTTTAAATCTTGAAAAGGAATCCAAGAATATAGAAAGTATTCACAGTCGTCTGAAGTCTACATTATTGAATATGTCAAAATCGATTTCCAGTAAATCGGAAGATACCGAGGGACCGTCCACTTTTTCCACTTCGGAATCTTTCGATGACACTATGAATGAGAAATACGATCGTATAGATAAAGTTCTCCCAAATGTAATAAAAAATGACACGAAGCAAATATTAGATAGCGTCGACAGAAAGTCGTGGAAGTCCCCCGACGAATACCGACCCGCTTTTGGGAAGGTTAAAGCTTTAACGAAACAGTTTAATGAAATGAACTTGAAATATTGTGTTAAAAACTACAAGCGGAATTGTCAGTCTAGTCCCAATCTTTGCGTCCGCGATGACAGCAGCGCTAAACTTAAAGACTGTTTGCCGATTAGCACTAGTTTAGCTGACATACAGTTTGATCACACCAAAACCGATACTAGCTACACCAAGGATACCAAAATGTCTGACGATGAAGTAAAAAGTATACTGATACAGCTGGAAGACTGGTCCAGATACGGCTCCCGAGGCAGCGAGGATACCCTCGCACAAGGAAACGAATTCGAATTACCAAATCTGCCCTCGGAAGAGCATACCGACAACGCCTCTCATAGCGGTAGTATAATATTCAACGAATTTGTTGAAAAGAAGCCGAGGACAATAACACTCGATAACATTAAACTTAAATCAAATCAGTCCAGTATGACTTCTGTTCGGACGAAATCTAGCAAAGATTCAGTGGTGGAAAGTGGCAGCAATGAAAAAATTTGTAATCCGAAACCGCCGCAAGTGGTCGCTATGACGCACAAGCATGTGTCGCTACTAGATGTGTCGACAGAAAGAGGTTTAGACGACAGCCGGCAGTCGTATGATACAGTAGCTCAAAGTTGTCCGGACATTAGCAGCGGCAGTGCACACACTGCAACGGCTTGCTCGGCAGCGCTCAACGGCTCGCAAATAATGCGGAACAAACACTGCGTCCAGCTCGAAAGCCCGCGTAAGACACACACTCGCATGAAATAGGTGTGTTCTAGGCCACCGCACTCACTTTTATATCGTTTGTGGAATCATTTTATGATTTTTGCTGTTGCATGAAATTTCTTTTTGGATTTTTATTATTTTCAGGTTTTTCCTTCAGTTTATGGCACTATTTTATTTATCTTTCCTCGTCGTACTGTGATTTTCAGCTTAAGTCTTGGCTTCAAAATATTTTTAGGCAGACGAAATTGTTAGATCTTATGTAAATTTGAACCTTTATCTTCATTTTTTATTAAAATTACGACACGTTTTATCTTAAACAGAAGGAACTATCGCATGCTTTTATTATTTACAAATCACATTTTATCTTTCCAAAATTTAGATATGTTTGTTATGTATTTGTTTTAAGACTAACCGTTAAAATGAAAAAAATATTGCATAGACATTTTTTTATATTTCCTCATTAGCAAATCCAGTTATCAAATTGTTTAGTAAATTATTTTAATTTCATAGGCGGTGCTCTTCGCCGCGCTTCGGAACGCGACCTTCCGTCGCGGCTGGCGGCGGAGCCCGTCAAGCCCAGCAAGAGCACGCCCG